CCTACTTCATTCACTGATGATGGAGCAGGACGACCGAGGCGGCTGCAACAGAACCGGGTTCACAAAGGGTTTGTCGGTAGAGCGCCGGCGTGAAGACGCGGTGGACTCGGCGGCGGTGGCGGTTCGCTTCTTGTGCTGGTCTCTTCCGCCGCCGTCTGGTTTCTTCGCCGGCGGTCTCTCCGGCAACCATCTGACGAAGTCCGTACTGCAGACCCATGTTTCCTTTGAGACTTCCATTGATAGCTTTGGCTCGCACATCATCAACAGCAGACAGTCCGGCAAAACCTTGTACGGCGCCGTTTCCTTCTCCGTTGCCTCCGGTTGATTTTCTCTCCCCTCCGGCGCCGGATTCGGGTCGGGTTCTGGTTTCTTTGGGTTGTCCGGGTCTCCGGGTTCGGATCTTTCTTCGTTTTGAGTTGCAGAATCAATGTCTTCGTCGTCTTCTTCCTCCTTCGCAGCCAAATCTGTCATCTCTGCCCATTGTTCGTCTTCTTCCAAAGCGTGCCTGATGTCATCTTCGATGTTTCTCATGAACGTTGCTTCCATTTCTTCCTCGCATGGTTCTTCTAGAACTTTTGACTCTTCTGCTTTCACGACCGAATCTTCCATGGCTTTCACTTCTTCCTCCTCTTTCTCCACTCGTGAGACCAAAGCGGGTTCTGCTTCTGCGACTTCACTGTCAGGAGCTATCTCGCCGGAAATCCATTTCTCGCATATCTCGATTCGCTTCTTGTCTTCCATTTCCAGCTCAACCCTTCTTCTCCCCTTAATTTCTTCTTCTACTGCTGCTACGCCGTTGTCCTCTTCCTCTGCTTTCGCATCGTCGCTCAGAGACTTCTGCGTTTCTCGGACTTTGTTCGCGAGCGCAGCCACCTTCACCGGGTCGGATCTGCACCGCATCAGCAACAACGCGTTCTTCGGCGGAGCGCAGATGGCGATCCGGCCAGCTTCTTCTTCTTTCTCTTTCTTCTCTGGCTTCACCTCTAACTCGCTGAAGTCGAGCCCCTCGAACACGTGTCTCCGGCGACTCCTCTGCCGTTGGTCCTGCTCCGCGTCGTCTTCTCCGCCTACGACGAGCTCTATCTCTCTCCTCTTCCCTCCAGTCTCCTCCACCGCCACGAACCACCGAGTGAACACCGCGCCGCAGGAGCTTCCGCCGCCGCATGCGTCGCTCTCCGTCTGTCTACCGTCCCGATCCCTGCGGTGGCTATCATCCGTACACGAGGATCTGCATGGGAAGAAACAGTTGAGCTCGGAACCGAACGCCCTAAGCGATTCGCAGATCGTGACCGGCATATGCACCCACCGGTTCTCGCTCGCGTCGAAGCGGCATCCTCCTCTTCCGCCACCGCCGTCGCTCTGGTCCGTGGATCTCCGGAAGCTCGTCTCACCTTTCCTCGTAGATCTCGCTCTCATCTTCTTCTTCACATGCTTCCTCGTCTTAACCCTAACCTGACCGATGCACGTCACTTTCGGAGACGACGGCTCGTGATTGTTGTCGTAACCAGATCCAGATCTCTTCCGGCCATTGGTGCCGAACATCGGCGAGGCGGCGGCGGGCGCGGCGGC